AAAGGATAATCGAGTGCTTGTAAGAGTTGCAGGATTTTAAACAAAACCGTAACTATGAGGGTGAAAAATAAAATAGTTTTTCGATTGAGTGAACTACTGCTCCACTTCACAAATCTATTGAGTTCTAATAAAATTTAGTATTATAATTGATATATATGTTAAGAGCGAACCGGACCTCTCGCGAAAGAAAAAATGTTTTAAGGATTTTCTAATCTAAAATTGTATTTATATGCGTGCCACTGGGAATACTTCGTGATATTATGTGTCTTGACAATATTGATAGCTTTAAATTTGTTCAACGATAAAGTAGCACTCTTTGGATATTTATTAAAACAAAAATCAGCAATTTTTTATAGATTTAATACAGAATGACGTGTAAATGTTTTTTTAAATTACTTTTAAAATTTTTCAAAATAAATACTTTTCGAAGGTTTACAAAAAATTCAGGGTTTCTCCACCCTAAGTTTATTATTGGTATTAATTACTCGGAAAATAAGGTTGGAGGTTTTAGAAACTCCGACTATGTTTGGAGGAAGGCTAAACAAAATGAATCAAGTAAAATATATGGGTCTAATTCTAGATAGCAAACTTACTGGGAACTAACACTTACAAAAAGTGACCAACAAATATGTCTCATTGTAGGTTTTTTTTTCTCCTGGGCTCGTCTGATTATGTGTCTCCGAATAACACTGAAGCCTATTGGCTTATTGTGTTTTACCCCCTGTTAGTTCATAGCACCCACTCTGTCACCTTTGTACCTTGTACAAGTTTGTACAGATCCTTGGGTGAGTGGGTTCTATACGTTGTTGGATCAACCTGGGGTTGTCCAAAAAGAGCCTGTCTTTTGAGATCTAGAGCTTCGCATTCGCACAGTATGTGTTTGGCCGTTTCTGGTTTCTTGTGACATAGTCGGCACATGAGTTCTCCATTGTACATGCTAATTTTGTTCAAGTGTCCGTTTACAGAGGCGTGCCCAGTCATGAACCCTGTTATCACTTTCAACTGGTTCCTATTTATTGAGAGTAGTTCTCCAGTTCTTTTGGGACATGGTCTGCCTATGAAGGCTTTTCCATGTGCCTGTTTTGGGGTGCTTCCCTAATAGTTGATATGTTGTTCCCGAATCCAGTCATTTATGAAACCCCGGACTGTACTTGTTGGTACTCCTGGGTTTGTGTCTGGTTCCGGTGTTTCTTCTGACCCTCTTTTTGCAAGTTCGTCAGCCTCTTCGATCCCTTGGTGACCTGACACCCAAAATAGTTTTACTCTATTTCGGTCTGCCAGTGTTCTTAGTTCTTCGATGCATTCCCATACCAGCCTCGACGTAACTTTCTGACTCGATATGGCCTTAAGTGCCTCTTGGGTGTCTGCCATTGTAGGTAGACGGGCATTTGGAAAAACATGGGGATTAAAACCAAAAATAGTCCACTGGCTATATTTGGCAATAACAAGACCCATGATAACTTATGCAGAGGTTGTTTGGTGGCCTAAAGTAAACCAGAAAACAGCCCTCCTAATTCTCTCAGATAGCCAAGCAGCCTTAAAGGCTCTTGATTAAAAAAGAATTAAATCAAAGCTTGTCTGGAACTGCCTTGGAATACTAAATGATCTGGCAACCCACAAAAAGGTAAAACTAGTGTGGGTACCAGGGCACAAAGGTATCCAAGGAAATGAAAAGGCTAATTAACTCGCTGAAGGGATCAGATCTACCATTCACAGGACCCGAACCTGTATTTGGGATAAGCAAAACCTCTGCTCGACAGGCAGTGAACAGGTGAATAACCACAAAACACCAAATTCACTGGCAAAAGATAAGAGGGCACAGAATTAGTAAGCTCATGCTAAGGGGACCAAACCCACGCATGGCGACTGAGGCACTACAACTCGCAAGGCCTCAGATATCCACCATTGTGGGATTACTAATGGGGCACTGCTTACTGAAACACATTCATGTGATGGGATTACAAAGCCCCTACTAGGCGACGTTTCATCCTCGGGAACACTTGGTAGGGAATTTATTAAAACTAACCAAAGACACAGGACTATTCCAAAGAGAGTACCTGAATACGGGGAAAGCAAGGGAATACAATAGACCCAAGAGGCCGCAGTGTTCTGGGCCCCTTCCTGCTTATAACCGACAAAGGTAAAGATAAAGATAAAAAAAACATTAATTTAATAAAGTTAATTATTATTGGTATATCCTGAAAATTTCACAAAAATCAGACCAACAATAAAGGCTCAGAATGAATTATAAATTTGTGTTCGATTTGCTCTTAAACTGGTTCCTAACCTGTAATAAATATTTTTTGTTCAGTAAAATTTTTGAATTTATTATTATTTATTAAAGTTGTAAGTAGTTAGACCGGAAAATATATATTATATGGAATTTTTTAAACCTGTATCATTTTAGTCATAAGTATTCGTTATATAACTTGGCTTTACATTAGTCATCACTTTCGTATTGCATCTGCAGTTACCTTATACAGTGTGTCCCAAAAAAGTTTTAAACAAATAAGAATAAAGTTTGTCTTATATTTAAAAAAAAATATTCTTGTTAAAAAATTATGCTTCACTTGAAATTAATTCATAATCAAGCATGAAATTTGTAAAATTAAAAAAATCCAATACTGTTAAGAGTGAGATTATAGGCCCTTTTGACTGACCCTAAAGTCCACTCTTAGCGGTAACCACAGGTTATATAGAGGGACCAAATTTGTATTTAAATTGGCCTCTAGATAACACACGGCTAGGGGGTTAAGTTCAAACGGGATGAGCCTAAGGAGCCCTAACTTCCTGACGATGATTCAGAGAGCGGGGAAAGGATTTGCCCTTGTTTTTGGCAATATCTCTCTCACTCAGAGATCTGACTAAGCCAATACCCCCGCTTTTGAATGATCGTGAGTTTTCATAAATAAAAAAAAAAAAATTGAAACAACAAGCGTAAAACAAATAACTATGATTTATTTAACAAATATAGGAACAACTAGTTTTGCTTCAGCAATTCAGTAGTCTTTGTTGACTACACAAAACTAAATATTACTACTCAAAACTATTTACTTACATGAACATTATATTTTAATCCGTTAGGCTGCAGGGCTGGCTGAGGCACACGTTACTTTACCCACTGTGTGGCTTTACAAAAAAACTAACCGCGATTTCGCGTGACCGACCCGTGATTCTACTTTGCGACACAAAAAAAGGAATTCCCTTAGTACCAATGATTACGACCGCTCGTCAACAAAAACCAAAAGGAACGCCCGAAAATTAACTTGTAATTTTCCAAGAATGCTCTTGTTGATCTTTCTTGACCCTGTACTTTAATATTATGATTTAATAAAACCTTGTCCAACTACACGTTTTATTATTTTATTGAAAATCTATTTAGCGCGTATGCCCTTGGACAAAACTTTACAAATCATAACATACGTATTCACAGGGTGTTATATTTATTCGTAACAATACATTGGATGATTTATTAAACCCTTCTTTATAAATGCTGCAGTGCCGCCATTTCCAAGCATTTTGTCATTGGTCCACTGCTGCATATGTGCGCCACATAATAATTCCGAAATTAGTATAATCATCCTATTAAATAAACATAAACTCAGTAGAAACTGTTAAACATAATCAAACAAAGAAAACGAACTCTTAAAAATAATCAGTCAAATATTCTTAATAATATATAATAAAACTCTATGATATGAAACAACCGCCAATAAAATAAAGATTTGTTCTTAAACTGTACTACTGTTCTTTGATGTGGACTATTCCGAAAGAAAGACCCAAATTGCACTCATGTATATACTTGGCATTAGGCTAGATAATTCACCTTCTCACTACAGGAAGCAGCTGGATAATTTAAACGATAAATTCATATTTACGCAGAATTTGAGAGAGTACCAAGGTGGTATTGAGAAGAACCAAGAGGAATTGCGGTATTTGGGGTCCCTTTGACCCAAGTAGCTGTGCATGCGCAGAGTAGATTCCTTACAAACTTTAGCGACAAAAATCCAGTGAAACCGACAGAAGCATCTAGATGGCCCTTCAATAATACCAATACAGGTTCCAACTGCCCTCCGAAGAAGTAGAAAGCCGTACTAACGTCTTGACACTTCATTTTCGAAGAGAAATAACTGAACTCAAACACAAGTTGTTTGACATCAAACAGAAGAGAATGGAACTGGACGGAGATCGAAAATTGTTGAGAGACTTCGCTTGCAAGGCCGGTGCTTCCTTGGAAGAGAGCCAAAATACTCTGCAAGGGGTTTCTGAAGATCTGACACAATTTTAAAAGCATTTGCGCCCTATAAAACTAGAATTATTGAGGAACATATTGAAAAATTACATTCCTTTAGAGCAGGACTGCACAACTCAGATTTTCAAAGGGCCAGATTTGGAAAACCGTAACTGGACGAGGGCCGCCAAGAGAGACCTGAATCTACAATAGTCGGTTCAGATTTTCTAAAAAAAAAAGGTCGACACCTTTCATTTATAAAGCAACTTCTGCTAGTCGAGCTTCTAAAAAAAAGGTCGTCAGCTTATAATGTATAGCCCATCCTGCTGATCAAATCAGCCTAAATGCAAGTTTCTTACTGAAAATTAAAAAATGTATAATTTGACGTAAGCGGGCCAAACTGGTCAACAGCCGGCGGGCCGCCAAAACGACACTGGCGGGCCGCATCCGGCGCGCGGGCCGTATGTTGTGCACCCCTGCTTTAGAGTTTAGACGATTTGAAATCACTAAATAACACAACTGTACTACATATCAACCATTATTGTTCAAATGAAATATTTAAGACTAGCTGTAGAAAGAACCATATTTTCGGGACGAGTCCAGTTAATTCCAAATACAGTAATTACAAGAGTGGTAAGGTTGAAGAGCTTGTTGTCCACACAACGAGAACAAATAGCCATCATACTAAAAGTACTCATGTCCAACACAAACACTATCGAAGTGGACTTCACCAATGTAAAGGACAAATATAAAAAAAGAGAAAACCATTATGGAATTTGGAAACGAATTGCGGCTGCTTAAAGAAAATGCAGTAACATTCTTAACTACAGTTAAGGAAGGCAGAAACATGGAATGTAAAAAATTCCGTACTGAATTAAGAGAAGTAAAATTCAGGATCAATATGCTCATGTCAGACTATTTAGAATTGAAAGAAAAAAATATTGCATTACAAAAACAAGTTTATGTTGTGAAGAGTTCGCAGGTTGAGTTTGGGAATTTAAAACATGAAATAGGGAGATTACAAAAGGACATGGATAAAAATGCAGAGAAAAATATGAAAGAAGCATTGGAATCTTTAGAGGTCTCTGAAAGCCTACCAGTGAATGTTATTTCATAAAATGGAAAATGTTATATTATTATTTTTTTTGTTTTTAGTAATAAATGTGCCTCACCACTAATTAAGTAGTGACGGATAAATACGGCGTTGGTTCTAAATACTAATAATATAATAAAAATAATTAAAACGCCTTACTAAGGGGTCGATGTGTTTCCGGTACTGGAAAAATAGCGTATAAATATGGCAAGGGTATGCTGAAGAATGCTAATATGTGGAAACTGACAGATATATATTACAGTGGGATCTATAAATTAGTAGTAAACGTATATACAGTAATTATTTTTTCGTGTTAGGCATACGACTAGTATATAAGTTAATAAAATGGCAACAGGGCAGCAGCCAGTCGTGGACTAGATTAAGAAGATATCGTGGTGGGATATTAGCCGAACAGAATATCGGTGACTGAATGTCAAAACCAGAGTGTGTAGCGATAGCGAGGATATCGTAGTTGTCACATGTTCACTGTGAAAGCTCTGCTAAGCCTAATACAAAATAATAAGTACTGTATACGGCAATGGGAACACTCTTTCTGTCTTAGAAACATTTTTTTTTAATAATAATAATGTTTACCACATAAAATACATATAGGTACATCGCAGATAAATATTAAAGCCAATAATTAACGATGGTAAACAAAAGGAGTGACCAATTCTTCCTCGCCACAAAAATTATATTTCAATACATCTTCACCATACCCTGACCAGGCCACAATAATTGAAAAATGAGAATGAATTAAAAAAAAAGAAAAAGAATTAATTATAAATTTAAAGTTGTTACTATTAAGCAACTATTGCTGTTGAAACAATTTTTTTTTTTTGAGAATTTTTGAATGCATTAATCGATAAAGAGAATGTTGGTATATTCAAAAAATGACCAGCTAGTGAGATCTGATATGTAAAAGCGGACTTATATAACTCTTTGTTGTGAGGAGGAATAGCAATTTGATTTTTTGTACGTTAGTTCTAAATTTAATTTTGTTGTACAAGTACAGGGGACTTTTCGTTTTTAAAATTTTATAGAAAAAGCAATTGGAGTGAAGCTTTCTATGGTTATACCGTTGCACATACTTAGCCAACCTATTTCATTCAGTTTTTGAGTTTATAAGTTCATTCAATGGCAGTAGTATTAAAACCTACATAATGTAAAATTGCAAGCAATATTTAATGATTCAAAGTGTCAAAGGCAATATCAACTGTAATTGCAGTTAATGCTGTAGAACAGCTATAACGGCTTCTAAATCCTGATTGGTTTAATGGTAATATTTTAGCAGTATCAAGATGACTTATTTGACGTTCTAATATTTTCTATAGTACTTTAGAGAACGTAGGAAGAATACTTATACTCCTTAAGTGACTAAACTCTAATGGCTTCGAGATTTTTGGTAGTTGTACCACATAAGCCTTTTTCCAAATATGAGGAAAGTATTAATGATCTATGCATTTATTAAACATATGGACTAAATAAGGTATAATAATTGTTGGGCAACAAAGTATGATGATTTGTATATTTAAATTGTGAAGGCCATAGTTATTAACACAGTTATTAAGTTTTAAATCATAGTAGGCTTTTTTCTCATTTAATAGCAGCAGATGTTAAGTTACGTAATTGTTTGTAATACTTCCAGTGTGGTTTAGACTTTGATTTTATGTATCTATTATAAGCTTTGTCGCTAAGTTTCTGCATCAATTTTACGGTATCGGTTATCCAGGGTTTCTTTTTATTATTTTTTAAAAGGGAAATTTTAGTGGGTGCATGTTTATTAACTAATTTTAAAATACTTTTATTTAAGAAATTAATTTTTCCATCAATGGTATATATTTTATAAATACTTCTCCAAACACTCTCTCCATCTTCTGTTTCCCTCCAAAGCATCAAGTAATTAACTAGTATGGTATCGTCTCTCAAAATCACCTACATCTTGTTGAAATCTTTTACCCTGCCCTTCACTAAGGCTTCTAAGTTTTCAGATAAACAGTATAAGGGAGTGTCAATATGAATTTTTAAAATATTTTTCCTGGATTTAGTGAGATAAATCTATAAGAAACAATAAAAAATCCTATGCAGTTTTTTGGTAGCATGTTTGTGTTATTTTTTGTTAATGAATGACTGATTTTTGTATGTAGACAGACACGTCAAATAAACATAAACCGTAACATTTCTCGTAAAAGGAATTTCACCCCTAAATAAACATATGTTTTACGACAATATAACGTTAAAACGGAAAACTGAATCGAATCCCCTACCTACTAACCTTTCGCGAGCATAAAAAATTGTTCGAATAAAAAAGGAAACCAGTAATCCCGCGCGTTTTTCTCCGACCCTCTACAAAACGTCTGAACCGGGGAAAATATGCAGGCGCGTGCCTGGCATCCGAATCCAACTTTGGCCGTGCATTACTTCTTCATAGAGTTCGTGAAAACTCCGCCAACGCGGGTCTGAGTTCACGGAGTTAGTTAAGGTCCTCCGTCGGAAGAAAATTTAAAGTTAAAATCGCATTAGATCCGTCTTGCCTTGGCTCAGATGCTTTTGAAACCTTTCGACCCCTTGCTTTGTGTATTGTTTGAAGTTTTTAAGATGTATCTATCTGGTCCGAATAGGGGAAATGTTTTGCTTTAGGTTTCTCGGCCGAATAAACACGAGTAAACTTTATATTTTTGTATAACTATTTGTATCAAGTTTCAATTCCCAATTAATAATAGAGAGTTATTGCAAATTTCTATAACGCCAGCCACTAATAGTGACATCGTAATTAGAGTCAAATAAATTCCATGCTAAAGTCAGACTTATTGCAAACCTGAAATTTTGACATTAGAATCCTTGTCCTTGTATGTTCTTATACTTATTTATAACCTCATTTTAATAACTTTAAATTATAGTTCATCTTTTTTCTTGTTTATAATAGAACATAATATTGAAGAGGCATTAGAAATTATAATTTAAGAAGGTTTAGATGACGATTATATTAAATATTTAATATTAAAAAACTTCGAGCAGATACGAATGTTAGCGAGCGCACCCGAAAACTATAAAGTCGCCACTAACTGCAGTCCTTAAACATCCACAATTAAGGACAGGCACAATCTTTATTAAAGTGTGACGAAGTTACTAAATTTTGCTCTCAATTAATTTAAAAATTTATATTTCAATTAATTCCCGCCTGAGAACATGTAGAAGATCCCCGGTATTTCTGTTTCCCAGGAATTACAGTTTTTCAACAATTGCGATTAAAATATTCCTATATTTGCCGAAATCCGAATGGGCATTTTTAGAGTCGATTTCGTATGAATTATCTACTTTTATTTGTCAAGGTACTAGGAGGACATTTTTTATTTTTAAATTGTAAACAGTCGGCTGTAGTAGTGGTATCCCCACTCAGGTTTACCGAAAAGCATAAATTCAATGACATATGGAACCGTATATTTTTTTTTTTTATTTTGACTTTTATATAATTAGTTTGAGACACCCGTCCGACAAGTAAACTAATTTTGATTCATGCCCAGCATTTTTCATTTCATCCCTTAGTGGAAAACCGTTAGTAATTTTTTTTTTATAAGAAGCACCCAGTATTTTTCATGTAAGTTTCTCTTTTCTTTTATTTATTCACTCAATTATATTTGAATCATTCCGTTTCCCGTCAACAATTAATTATTGAACGAAGCCCGACGTTTTCTGTAAAATTAAATTCACACACGCTCTCAATCGACTCTGGGCAAATCTCAAAATAATTTTTACGTTAACCATCGCATTTTTGTCCCAAACACCGTGCTGAAAATTATCATTCTCGTTCAATAATTGCCAGAGCGTCGATCCGTCTGGTCTAAGATACAGGGACGTTCCGAAAACTTTGATTTCATTTATTTGCTTGCATTTGGTTACCGTCATATTTAAATTGTTTTCAAGTGTATTAATTTATTTTTAATAAATTTTCCGTATATAGGGAGTTTCATAATTCCCGGACCGCTTGGTCTCCTGTGCTAGCGAACCGTAAATATGTTCCCGTGCTAGTAAAAGGTAATACGAACTTTTAATTTCCTTAGTACCTAACAAGGTAATAAAGTAAATTGGATTTAATTCTGGGGGCACTCGCACCCTTCATCCATTTTCGCGTTAATCAGGGGGTGATAGCGGTATTCGCTTGCTTCCCCCCGTCGATAATCAGAGCTGTTTCAGCCCCTAGTCTTTATAACAGCTCGTGGAAAGGGTTTCTCTATTGTAGAAGCTATGGACTACCAGATGTCTACATGAGAGAGACTTTAAACAGTTAATATTTAATTAGTTTTCATTGGTAATAATTTATTTTTAATAAATTTTCCGCATATAGGGAGCCTTTAATATTTAATTAGTTTTTATTGGTAATAATTTATTTTTAATAAGTTTTCCGCATATAGGGAGCCGTTCATATTTAATTACCGTTGTATTATTTTTTTGTAAATATATATTTTATTACCTATTCCTGTGTTTCTCTTATTCATGGTCTTAACCGTTCTCTTTCAGGCTACCGTAGGGTACGAGGTGTAAAGGAGATAAGTGTTTTATTTTTATTTATTCTAGTATAGTGGCTACCTAGCAGTGACCGCCTGGAATTATTTTTTACCTCCACTGAGTTCACCTAGCGTACACTCTGGTGTACCACAGGGTCGCAGAGCAAACTGCGATACCAAAACTGGCGCCTGAGCAACCTCTATTCGGAAACACCTTCATAGCGCCACACAGACTCGCTGATTCCCTGTAGGTGAACTATCTGCGCATGCTCAGATGTCAAAATAAGAGCGGCACTAATAGTGACTGACCTTAAGTGAACTTGCAATAACTGTCTATTTAATGCGATGCAAGCTTAAATTTAGGTAACAAGCCAAACCTCCTGTCATCCTCAACATTTACTATGTTTATTTTAATATAAAGCAGGGTTGAAAATCCACTTCCACTCTTCTTCGTGAAAGTTATTTCTAAGATATTTAAGAGGCCTAGTAATCTTTTCTTTCACATTATCATCCAGTTCG